ATTTATTCTTAGCTGTTAAAAAGGAAAAAGGGAAAAAAAGAAATTTTCTTTTAAAATATTGTTTATCGTGAAGTTCTGTAAAATTAAATTAAATTAAAAAGATTATCAAACCGCGAATTAGGGTTTTTGTCAAGGTATTTTTCCAAACAAATCAGCTTATTCAAATTTCATTGATTGGTTTGCGGAATTAAGCGAAACGTAGAATTTGTAAATCTCGACAAAAAATGTTAGCAATAACTTAAATAATACTAAATACTATCAGGATTTTTCTTTATAAGCCACTTACGATTTAGACCAGTAGTCGGATCGTTTAATTTGGCACAAGAATTAGGACTGAAGTTGTTCAAACGGTTGGTTGATTCTTTATGCGTGTGTCTAATAGAAAAGAAAAGCATATCACTCAAACTAGTACAAAAGAACTTTTAGAATTGAGAGAATTCTTAAATATAATTTTAAATAATATATTTAGTTATCATTTTAGTTTAATTTTACGTTGTTTTTGAGGGGTTGAGGGTGTTTTTTTTAATCATTTCACACCAAGCAAGGCAGTAATTTGTTTTTGTCTATATGAAAAAATTATAAATTATTTTGGGGAGAAGTGCAAACAGGTAAGGGGGTACAAAGTACAGCTGGGTTTACTGGGGGGGGGTAAAAACGCGAATTAGGATTTTTGTCAAAGTTCTTTTACAAACAAATCAGCTTATTCAAATTTCATCGATTGGTTTGAGAAAGTGAACGAAACGTAGAATTTGTAAATTTCGACAAAAAATGTTAGCGATAACTTCAACAATACTAAATGCTGTGAGGATTTAAACCGCGTCAGTATATCAAACTTCTGTTTCTTTTGTGCCGTGTCCCTTCAGAACGTGGGTGATCATTGTTCTCCACAATTTCCTGTCCATTGTAGCCCTTAGTTAAGATTGTCTTTTTGCTATACAGTCATGCCTTGAGATACGAGCGTTACCGATATAAATTACGTCCAAAATCAAGGCCTCTGATCAGGATGTTTTGAGAAGCGTGGAACCACCTCTTAATTGCTGATGTTCCCAGGTCTACCCTGACCCGGGGTGGTAGCACCAGTTAGGGTCCCAACTATGGGTAAATAGTTTCGCCCAAACTGGGGTCAAAACACTATGAAAGTGTAAAAATAGGTTTTAATACCAGAAATACTTTGTAAAAAAAAATATTACCAGTAATACATTTTTTGAAGAAATGGTTACCAGCAATACATTTTTGGAAAAAAAACAGGAATACTTCGAAAAAAATTATTACCAGCTATACATTTTTTAAAAATATATTACCAGCGATACATATCTGAAGGAAAAATATTACCAGAAATAGTTTTTTTAAGGAAAAAATATTACTAGAAATAGATTTGTTTTTGAAGGAAAAATTGTTACTAGAAATAGATTTTAGGGGAAAAAATATTGCCAACAATAAAAATTTTGTCGGTATTAAATAACCCATTGAGGTTGATATGCCGTAAAACAAAACAAACACCCCCCAAAATTGAAATGCAATGTCAATCGCTATCTACTGTCCTCCTGATTACTCTTTTCTCTTCCCGCTTATTATTCATGTTTCTGTTCCTAATACTTACACACCCTGTAATCCCTTGCATCTTAGTGGCTTTACTGCCTTACATGGGGTGATACCGATTTAAAAAAAAAAAAAAAAGAAAATTGCACGTTAACGAATTCGGCTTGAATTGGAACTCGGTTCTTCGATTCTCCAAACACCCTGCACCGGCAAAGGCATTATACGATGCTGCATCAATAATTTAGTAGACATACTGAACTGTTTTATTTTTCTGTTGCTACGGTTGTAAGGATTATGTATCAACGCAAGGTACACCGACGTGTTAAAACACTTCAAACATTACGAAATTTACAATTTCAAGAAATTGTTTTTATGAACAGTTGAAATAAACAATCGTATTTTTTTTTTACATCAAAAGATTAAATAACAGTTAATATGAGCTTTCAAATTTTCAAATTATTTCCGGTTACGGCTAACCGATTTTTTCTTCCCAAATTTCTAACATTCACTCATGTATTATTGGTAAAAGACACGCATGATCGATTTTCTGAAAGGTATCAGCTGATCAATATTTCAAGGTGTTAATGTCATAAGAAACGAGTTTCATTTATGTACTGGAGGAGGAGAATAAATTTATTTATTCATCAATCCAGCATGCTTAAAAAAAAACAAAAAAAAAACTGTAATATTATTAAATGTTACATTTATGTTGCTCGTATACTCGATAATAATGAAGCCGCCTCATCTATCTATCTATCTATCTATCTATCTATCTATCTATCTATCTATCTATCTATCTATCTATCTATTAGTCCTTCTCCCCTCCTTCTCCCTATCACTGTCTCTCTCTGCATATATATATATATATATATATATATATATATATATATATATATATATATATATATATAAGTGAACATTGAAATCAACACTCAGAGTTGACAGACTTCATGCCAAACGCATGTATGTGTGTATGTGTGCGTGTGTGTGTTGTGCGTGTACCGGGTGTAACAGCAAAATTGTCCAATTGTTAGATTAAGATTTAAACCGTTTTATGTTAGAAATGATTAAAGATATCTTACTGGAATTCTCCGAGATTTTTATAACACTATTGAACTTTACTTTAAACAATAAGAATGTATTTAGCTCTAAGTTGAAATGATGATCCCTCTTCCTTCTGTAACCCCCTGATCCAGTTTTCCTCTCTAGTGTTACCTCTTTTTTAAACATATTCACCATTCTTTTGATAGTTCTTGAATGCACTTTGAAGATGGAAGCCAGAGTATTAATGTTGGTACCATTACTGAAGGTCTTAATGATCTTTTTCCTCTCGCCATTGCTCAGTTGGGAAAACATAGTGGGTCTGACACAAAACAATTTTAACCTGTTCTCTTTCTAGATGAATAACTCAAAGGGTTTTTCAGTAATTCTAACTTCAAATGGAGTCAAGATGGCTAAATGTCTTAGATGAAAACCTGAAAAAAGAATGTCAATTAGTTTAGTGTTTTCTTTTCTTTTTTTATTTACAACATTTTATAGGATGGACAATTATCGCATGCTGTTACATGATTTAGATAATTTTGCTGTTACACGATATATATATATATATATATATATATATATATATATATATATATATATATATATATATATATATATATGATCTGACCATTAGCATAAACAAAACGGAGGTAATCCACCAGCTGTCATCTTCTCCAAAGCAGATTCGTGGTCTCAGACAATCTCCCCTAATTCTTCCATTACCAGCCACTGATTAATTGGAAGAATTTGAAGTATGTGAAGTCATTAACATATTTAGGAAGTAAGATGAATTCAAATGCATCCCTTGATGACGAAATAACAATTTGGATCGCCAAAGCTACAAGTGCATTTGGGAAGCTTCTTCCACACCTATGGAATGAGAGAAGTATGAAATCGGACACCAAATACGGGTTTCTCGACCAGCCGTTTTCACCACACTGTTGTACGGCTCAGGAGGACACAACAAGAGGATGGATCATCATTTCAACTTAGAGCTAAATACAGCCATTAGAAGTGATCCAACTCAATTCATAAAACGTTTGGAACGCCAGAGAGGAGTTTCAGCTATGACAGTCCAAAGGGCTGTGAAAAAAAGATTTTAAAATGAAATCATACGTAAAACTTGACAAGAAATTCTAAAAGTAAAACAAAGAGAAAAGGAAATTCAATGAAAAGAAAGAAACAAACTAAGCAAATTGAGACAAAAAAGAAATAAAAGAAAAGCAGATAAGGAGGAAAAGACGTGAAAGATTCCCTGAAAGGGAAGCGAAAGGCAAAAAATAAAAGCTGCTGATAGGGAGAGGCAAAGAAGAAATAGATAAGGTAATGAGTCACAAAAAGAAGAAAGAAAAATATGGAGTTAATAAAAAGGAATAGACTCTATTCCTTTTTTATTTACTCCATATGAATCAGCAGTTTTCCCACTGATAATGCTTCTGGTGTTTCTGTTCATTATTTTTTGTAATACAAATTAACTTCATAATTTTCTGTTTAGAAAAGGTTTGATTTTCTTCTTTTTTTGATACGAATGTATAATACTATTTTTATACAAAACCTAAAGTCCTAAACAATAAAAAGGTTCTTTCTGACCTTCTTGTTTTTCTGTCACTTTATGACATTGATGTACAAATGAATGATGGATTACTAATTTTTGGATCAGAATACTGAATTTTTACTAATTTTTAGTATTTGTCAGTATTTTTTATTTCTGTTTTGGTATTTTACTAATGACTAATTTGCACAATTTTTAGTCACAAATTAGTCAGTACTAATCAAAATCATTCATTCAAAAAAAAAATTTTTTTAATATTTTCCAAAACTTTTTTAAATTGCCAAAACAAAAATACGAATTTTTTTTTTTTTTGAATGAATGATTATGATTAGTATTAATTTGTAGATCTACTAATACAGCGGATAAAATGAATAATTTTTTATTAATGACTACAAACGTTAATAAAAATACTGAATTTTATACAGAGTACTAACTTATACTAAAAATTAGTAGAATAGTACTAAATAAGAAATCAGTATTTTGAGTGTCGCTTAGTATTTTTTTTTTAGGCACAGTATTTTGACTAAAAAAACCCTTAGTATTTTGAATGAAAAAATCCTTCATTCATTTAGTCAAGAAATTGTACATCAATGCTTTATGATGGCTATGAATTTTTTGTATGGGAGTAGGGGGTTAATGGAGAAATACATAAAGCCGAGGGGGGGGTCAATGATGGAGGAATGGTTGAGAATGGCTGGACTAGAGCTATAAAGAAGCAAAGAAAACACAAAGAAAGGCTATGATATTTCAATGAAAAAGAAAATTGAGAAAAGGTAAGGAAATTAATTGAAAAGAAAGTGAATAGAAACAGGTGCGAAATTCAGATAAGAGAAAGAGGGAAAAGGAAAGTTGAAATTAATTAAAGAAACTAGCAAGGAGAATGTAAGAGAATATTTAGCGAAATGGAAAGGAAAGAATGGACACAGAAAAGTGAAGAAAATTGAAGAAATACGAGAAAATGACATTCAAGGAAAATGAACGAGAAATTAATGAAAAGAAAAGAAAAAGGAAAGAAAAATTGAATAAAAGAAAAAAGAAGGAATTTCAGAAAATTACTCTCTTTTTTTTTTCTTTATGAATAGGAAGGAGAAAAAGAAAGGAAATTTAAGAAAAGGATAGATAGTGGCAAACATTGACGAACAAAAAAATAAGAACGAAAGTTTTAAAAAAAAGAAAGAAAATATGAAGGAAAGAAGAAAAGTAAAGCCAAATCAAGGAATGAGAATCACGAGGCAATTATAAAAAAATCAAAAGCCATGAAAAATTTAAAAAAAGAAAAAAGCGAATGAAAAAATAACAAAATATAAGGATGAGAACGTTAAAACAAATAAAATTCATGAAAAGGAAATTTTAAAAAAAAGTAAAAAATATAAGGAAATTCAAGGTGAAATGCGAAGAAAAAGAAAAAAATAGAAATAGAAAAGGCATGAAAATTAAAGGAAAAAAAAAAGGGAGGAAAGGTTATAAAGAGAAAAGGGAAGTGAAAATGTAAGCAAATACAGAGATAAGCAAATACCAAAAAGTAAAGAAAATTGAAGAGAAAAGGAGTGGAATTTTAGTGAAAAGGAAAAAGAAAAGTAAATGAAGTTTACGAAAAAGAAAGTGAAAGTGTAAGGAAATTCTAAGAGAGAAGTAAACACATACATGAAAAGGAAAGTAAAAGAAAAGTAAAGAAAAGAGAAAAAAACATGAAGAGTTAATGAAAAAGAAAAAGAGATGTAACGAAAGACAAAGAAAAAAGAAGAGGAATATAAAAGAAAACCTCAAGAGAGAACAGCGAAGTCATGGAAATTAAATGAAATAAAGAGAGGTAAAGAAAAACAAAGATTAGGGGAGTTAAAATATAAGGTAACTGAAAAGGAAGCAAAGAAGACAAAGAAAAAGCCATGACAATATAAAGGAAAAAGAAAGTAAAAAGAGAGACAAAAAAAGACGAAAAAAATGAAAATGAAAAAGTAACAAATTTAACCAGAGAAGCAGAAAGAAGAAAATGTCAAGAAAAATCAGGGAAATTCAAAGGAAAAGATAAAGAAACGAAAATAAAATCAAAATATCAGGAAATTTCAAGAATAAAAATTAAATAATAGTAAAAACAAAAAACTTGAGAATTTAATGAAGAGTAAAGAATACAAATCTTAAATGTCACAAGAGAAAGCAATAAAGTCAAGTTGGGAGAGAAAGTCTTGTAAATTTAACGAAAATTGTAAACAGAGTGCAACACAATACGAAGAAACGAAAATTCAAAATATAATGACATTCAAAGAGAGAGAGAGAGAGAGAGAAATGAAAGTAAAGAAAAGAAAGCGATATGGAAATTCAACGCACTAAAAAGGAAGAAAAAAACAAAGAAAACTGAAAATTTAAGTTATTCTGAACTTGCTTTTGTGTGTCAATGCCAATTCTTAGTTTGTGAACTTTTTGTTTTCTTACTGTTAATTTGCCTTGCATATATTATTTGCTTGCTTGCTTATTATTATTTCATTTTTGCCATGTTCCTTTTTCTTTTTCTTTCTTTTTTGCAAACTTTGTTAATTCTGTTTGTTGAACCGTCCTGTTATCTATTTTGCATTTAAACATGGCTACTCACACCACAAAATGCTATCGTATAAAAGACAAATAAAAAGTATGGCAAAGAATTTTTTTTAAAGTTAGAAATTCACAAAGAGACATGGAGAAAAACAAGGGAAACGTGAAGGAAGATAGAAATATAACGAAAATAAAAGGGAGGGACAATGAATGCGTAGAAAATGAATAGTTACAATATAAAGAAATTCTGATAGAATTATGAGAGAAAAACCAGAATAATGGTCGTCCTGTGTGTGACGATAAACTACATCCGCGCCCTGGGTAAGACGATAAAGTACGTCCAACAGCAAGGCCTCTGATCAGGTTGTTTTAATTGCTGGTGTTCTCAGGTCCACTCTGACCCAGGTTGATAGCACGTGTTAGGGTCCAAGCTATGGGTAAATAGTTAGCCCAAACTGAGAACTATGAAAGTGTAAAAATAAGTTTTAATACCAGCAATGAGTTTTTGTAAAAAAAAATTACCAGCAATACCTTTTTTTTAAAAAAAATATTACCACCAATACATTATTACCAGCAATACATTTTTGAAAAAAAAAAATATTACCAGCAATACATTTCGGAAATAATATTACCAGCAATAGTTAACCCCAAACTGACACTATGAAAGTGTAAAAAATAGGTTTTAATACCAGCAATGAGTTTTTATTAAAAAAATTACCAGTAATACCTTTTTTTTAAAAAAAATTATTACCAGCAATACATTTTGGAAAAAATATTACCAGCAATCCATTTTGGAAAAAATATTACCCACAATAAAAATCTTATCGGCATTAAATAACCCATTGAGGTTGATATACCGTAAAATAAAACAAACCAAACCAAATCAAACCAGAATGATGAAGAGAAAAAAAGTCATAGGAATTTAAAGAAAAGTAAAAAAAGAGGCAAAATATATCAAAGAAAAGGAATCTGAAAATTTCAAGAATCTCCCAGAAAGAAACAAAGATAAAAACAAAGAATAAAAATGAAAGTAAAGAAAACGAGGAAAGGAAAAGCCAAATCTAATTTGTGTCACCAAATTCCCTAATCTTCGCTTTAATCCACCCGTAAATTGTAGCATTTAGTGTGTTCAGGTTGCTCATGTTTTGATTTTTATTTCTTTCTTATTGTTAGCTTTTGGGGTGGGGGGATTTTTATACTTTTATTCAATTTGAAAATCAGATTTCTTCCAATCGAATACATATTTAATTGGATATATTATTTGTACAGAATATATAGCGGAAATATAAAATTATTTAATTTAACAGTAAACATGTGTAAACTTATAATAATAATAATAATAATAATAATAATAATAATAATAACAATTGACCATCTTGTATCAGGTTGCACAGCGTTATCATCATCAGCGTCATCATTATCATTGTTATATAGAAATAAAGTGTCGCTGCCGACACTTGAGTTTGAACATAGATCGCCAGTGAGCAAACACAGGCGACCCCATTATTAAATTAAGTAGACCACGTGACCATCTTGGAAATGCATATATAGGAAGTCACGTGATGACTAAATGATCACATTTTCTATTCTATCCTCTATACTATATGGGCCGCTATTCTCTACTCTATTCACTATACTATTTCTCTAGTCAGATCACTATACGAATTACTTGTCGATCGAGCATTATCGAGCAAGTACTATTAGTGCGAGTGATATTCAAAGGCGTCTGACACCCGCATTGTTCAACGGCGTTACTATAGTTGTATCTGCGATTACAAAGTCTCTACTACAACGAGCATTACGAAAGTGACAACGAGTATTCGTTGACATTACAAAAGTGGCATAATCATCATCATCCCCTTGACTTTTGTAATTATAGGTGGGGGGGCATCCGAATGCAGAAGCAACACTGGATCTCCACAACGGTCTATCAATGGCAGCCATCAGCAATTCTGGTATAGTCATACGTGTTCACTGTTGGGCATTGTTCAACCAGTTTTGGCCTTAGATTCATCTCCACGGTACTTTGCATAATGGTCATTCACAGGCTGTCGTCCCTTGTAAATGTGTCCAAACCAGGCTATTTTTATTCGTTTGATAGTGGCGAGAAGAGGTTCCTGATGACCCATATGATTCTCAACACTTTTCCTTACAAACGCATTGGTTTTATGTTCCCAATAGAAGATATGAAGGAGTTTTCTCATGCATTTGTTTTAAAACGCTTGGATCCGTCTATCTATTTCTCTCAATTCTGAGCACCAACTGAATATAAAAATCCGGCATTATAGAATGTGGGCCAATATATGCACTGGCATATATGCCACTTTTACGGGAAGGAACCTGTAAGAAACTGGTATGAACCTCACCCAGACCCCGTACAGAGATCTGTAACAATTTTATGGGAATTTACAATACACACAGACAGAATAATCTAATCTAATCGTACAGATATCGTGATCAAAGACCACAAGGACAGAATGCGCTTTCTTATTGACATGGCATCACTGCAGACTGCAATGTAGCGCTTTGAAGAGCTTCAAAAAAGTATCAAAATACAAGGATGTTGAAGTGGAAAGCTAAAAAAAAATATGGTGCATGAGGACATCATTAATTCAAGTAGTAGTTTGATCCCTCGGATTGATTAGAAAAAGCTTCTGATAGACTCATCGAAGGGACTCCTGGTAGCCCATGCCTTAAAGAAATATAAAAAAAATGTACTCACAAGTGCAGCTCACGCATTACGAAGAGCCTTATCCATGTAAAATGTGTGTAGTCTTAGTTTTTTGGTTTCTTTTAGAAAACATCAACAGAAGATGTCATGAAACCATTTCTTATCTTCGGTCCCTGGTTGGGATCCGGAAGGAAATGCGTATAAAATAGACACTAGAGGAAATAATAATAATAATAATAATAATAATAATAATAATAATAACTTGAAATAGATGTGAAAATCTCAAGGCTTTCCTATCTTCATTTTCTGGTGAATCTTAATTCTTAAGTGACTCATGGAAAGGATTCCTGGTACCCTTTGCCTTAAAGAAGTACAACAGAATTATACTACCAATTATAGCTCGTGCATTAAGTAGAGCTTTACTTATGAACATTTTTGTGGCAATAGTTTTGTTTGTTTTTTATTTTTTGTTTTTTTTTAGGATACATGGCCTCGAGTGCACACGATTTTTCCTGGAAAAAATCCTACCTAGCGAGATGAGAAAGATTCATACTTTTCCCACATGTATTTGCCTGTAAGTGAATGTAATGAACCCGACTGGAATTCGAACTCGGCTCCCCGAGTTCTAATACCGAGCTTCTATCCGTTGGCGACAGTGAACAGAATTTGAGCCCAGTTTATAATCCACAACATCGAATGCTGCATTTTACAACAAGTTGTACTATTTGGAAAATTTATCCAACACAATTTTTTTTTTGTATTTTTAACTCCATTTGGCATCGCGTGTCAGAAGCTACGGTTAGTAAATAAGAAAAACTGTTTTTATTCGAATGTTATAACCACTAACCTGTCACTTCGTTGTTGGTAATATCTGTTGATATCGCATCGAGTTTGTCATAAACATCACAAAAGAACAATTGATTTACGTCAGAAAAATAATTTTCTGATTATTAAATGTGATTAGCCATGATTCCTTGTTTCTTTTTTGAAGTGGTTGATGCTTTTCTTTCTTTCCCTGTGTCTGATAACGTCAGTTGAAATAGTTCCCCCACCCCCGCAATCAAGCTAGCCACTTCTGTTTCTTTTGGGTTAATACGTGACGGCATCACTCGATAAAAACTTCACTTCTGTTCCTACTGCGAACGTTATTGTTTACAAAATTGTCTTGCAAGCTGTCTCTAACGGACGTATTTAATAATGATTTCTCAAACAGTTCAACATCATGATCATTAGTAGTATTTGATTTGATACCTCCTCCGACTTTGGGTCGGCTGATGAAGATTCTATTTCACTTCCTACCTGCAGTGTAAAGATACGCCACTTACCTCAGCGCATCTACCGTTCCAAGCAATGCGACTGCCATCACACTTCTGGAAATAAACCAGAGTGCGCCAACCACAATTTGAACTGCCGGTTGGTATATTTCTCTGATTTTCCCTGCCAATGTTTCTGTGTTTTCACCTACTCTGACTTTCTCGATTTTTTTATCCCAAGGTCCCACAACAGGATCAATGACTGGTCCGTTGCAAAATTATCGTATCTAGGCAATTCCGCTCCAAGCCATT